CGTTAAGAGAAGAAAAATTTTTGTAAGTTTTTTTTTTTAAAGATAAATTGATCATATTTTGTACAAATGATTCACCTTAAATCTATTTGTAAAAAAAGAAGAAGAAAACTAACCATTTTTAATACAAAATGTGAATATATAGTCTTTTCTTATTCAATAAATTATGAAAATGTCATTTAATATTAAAAAAAAAGAAGAATAATATCGATATTTATCTTTGTATACCTGTCTGTATCAATGTAACTATTTCTTTTTGTTTTTTATTTAACTGTGTGGAATGTAATTCACCTTTTTTTTTTTCTATTTTTCAATCCAAAAAAAGAACAAACAAAACGTTTCTATTTCAAGAATAATACTGAACAAAAAGCAAAACTCGTGAATGTTTTTGAATCATCATTTTAAATATACTACTGAAGAATCATGTGTCATTTACAACAGCGAGTTTAAATTTGTTTAACATATGCATTTATTTTTTACTTTAATTTAGAAGAATTTGTTAAAATTAGATTAATTTATTGATGAGAATTATTTTTTTTAAAAACTTATCCATGTATAAGTTGATTTTGAATAAACAAAATGTAGTTTTTTAACTTTATTTTTAACTAAACTACATTGTTGATGTAAAAGTGGAGTTGATCATCCAGATAGAATCCTTTCTTTTTGTTATTGTTGTTGTTTTTGTTACTGAGTTTAAGAAAACGTTTTGAATAGTTCATCATAATTATGTCTAATCATATTTTTCTATCGATTGTAACTATTCACTAATTTGATGATGATGATGAATGTGTTACATCGGTAGTAAAAATCCCGAATAAAGGACTCATTGTTTTCTTTTCTTTTCATACGATTATTTCTAATCGAATTTGTCATATATTTAACACTTTCTTCTATCTCTCACTCTCTCTCGCTCTCTCTCTCAATGAACTGATCAAATGATGGACATTAACGATAATTGAATGATTATTCATGGACGCGCTTGAACAAAAATCTACGGGTTTTTTTTTAACTTTAAGTTCTCTCTTTCTCTCTCTCTCTCTCTCAATATCATATTCTCACGCGATTATAATTTTCCTTTATCTAGTTCAAACCTTGAAGGTATCTATACATCTTTAACTGTTACATTTACTTTTACACTGTGAATATAGTTGAATTCTCTTTCTCTCTCTCGCTCTCTCGACATATTCATATATATATATACGTCCAGAGAGAGAGATACTTTTTTTTCTAACACTTTTCATTTCACAAGAACTGTACAAACGTAGTATCAATTCTCCTCCTTAAAGGCATGCATAATAAAAACCGATTAACGGTTTCGTTGATGTGTCAAATGTGCGACAATTAATTAACAACAAGACAAAGGTGAAAGACAATAATTGAGCGACTTAATGATATCAATATGATATACATGCACATAAGGTGTAGACCAATTTAAATGTACTTTGTCTTCATATAGAGAAACTAGACATAATTCCTGAATATATAACACATCTGATATATGAACAAAACAAAAATCAGATTAATCAATCAGAAAGCATTTAATCGAACAGAATATTTCAGCATCTACATGAAAGATTTAAAAACTTCGAACTGTTATTTGACGATTTATTTTTCTTCTTTTTTTCACAATTGAGAAATTATATGAAGAACGAAAAAGTTTAATGAACTACTTTTTTTGTATTAACTATAAAACTAGCAAAGGATTCTATGTATGTGTGATTATTATAGAATAAATTCATAACCAACTATCACATTACCTTATGTAATTTGTAATATAATCCACATGCATTACACACTGATTCACCATTTCCATTTCTTCTCCAAAGTGTTGTTGTTGCTGTATTACAGTTTGAACAATGTACACCACTTTTTTTCACTGTAGACTAATAAAAAAAACATATACATATATAATTAATTATTTCATATTCATACAAACGACTCATTTAGGTACTCGATATCTATTTTCATTTTTCTATCAATAAGATGACTTGTTATAGATTTTTTTTTTTGTTTTTTTTTTGTTAATTAATTCTACTTACTAATCTTCGTTTTGGTTTAATAAGTGGTCGATTATGACCGTTCATTTTATGATAGAGACCACAAGCATTACACAAATAATTTCCATTACCATCACGTCGCCAAAGTGGAGTAGATTTTGCACCACAATTGACACACTCTCGACCTTCTAAAGCTAGAATATTTTAAAAATGACAAATAAAAGCAAAAAAAACATTTTTACTTTCATAGAATCTTTCTATCTAAAAAGAAAAAGATTTTCTTTAAATACGTTTATATTCACCTTGACTAGATTTTTTCTTTGATTGTTTATTATTGTCGGGTGATTTTAATGGCCATAATGAATTGAGAGGATCTTTGAATAATGCCCAATTATTTGTAATATCATTTTGTTGCTGTTGTTGTTGTTGATGTTGATGTGAAGAATAAGGCGATGGAGAAGTTGAAGAAGCGGTTGATAAATTAATTGATGAATTATTTGTTATATTAAATAATTCTGTTGAATTTTTACTTGAATCCGTATTATTAACTGAATTTAATTTTAAAGCATCAACATCTTGATCTTTTGGTGGTGTGGGAGGAAAATATGTATTTGAAAAATTAGAAAAATGATGTGAATGTGGATAAGTACTGGAAAATGCTGCTGCTTGACCATGTGTATTTGAATGATGCCAATTATTATATTGAGAAACAGCTTTAGATGATTCAGGTGTCATCCAATTGGGTAATGGAAATGCACTCATTGCTAAAAATAAAAAATATAAAAATATAAATTTATCAAAAACAAAAAAATAATCTTTATACGTACATCCGGCATATCTGTAATATTGTTCAGATGTTGTACCATAATAATTATCAGCATAATTCCAACGATTGGCATAATTGCCAGCTTGTTCAAGTGTTAACGGGTCCATACTAAGTTAAAAATAATCAAAATAAAATTTATTTTCAAAATGAGAGTTGTCCGTCACTTTAATCTCTCATCTTTTATATCATTTTTCTCGTTCAAACATCAGTTTCATCTCATAAATACTCTTTCGGATAATCAAAATAGATATAAATAATTGTCTTGTATGATTACAAAATTGATCTCTCGCTCTATCTCTCTCTCTACGTTTCCAATTTGAGTGCAAACAACAGATCTTAACCATTCACAATCTTTAATAATAATTTTAGTTTAAAGAAAAAGAAAAAATTTTTAAATACTAACTTTATTTTTGTTGTTTATCTTTGGATAAAAATGGGAAAATTTTGTACACGTATAAAGACGATATATAATATATTCGATATAATCGATGTTTGTCAATAATTAGTTATACATAAAGATCGATATTATAAAAAAAAAAGAATAACTTGTTTTTGACCTCTCTCTACATCAAGATTATGAACTATCTGAAAAAAATTAATAATATAAAAGAAAGAAAAATATGTTAAAATCTCTAGATGAGAGAGAAGAATTTTATTTTTATTTTATAAGATTTTTGTCAATACAACAATATGATCTTATCATTTAGAAAATAGTTTGTTAGAATATGTTCATAAATAATTCTTTAAAAAATTAATACGTACTCGTTTGTATATGTAAAATGTATGAGATTAAAAAATTCATTTGAAATGTTTTTTTTTTTTTTTAAAACAAGTTAGATAAAATGTCAAATACAAAGTTTAATAGTAAAAAAGAAGAAGAAGAAGACAAACAAAAAAAAAAAAACAATAGAAAAAGACGAAGAATAACGACGTGATATAATAAATAATTCGCAACTATCTTGATATGTATATCTCACATTATCCACCAAATATTTTCTTTTTATCTAATTAATTTAAACTCCTTTTTTCTTCTTTTTCCGATATCAAGAACAAATGATGATTATCTTTGTTTCCGATTTTTTTTTTTTTGCTGTCGATGTTAAACACGTCAGAAGATAACTTTGAAGATTCGATGGAGATAACTGTGTAGATGGTGATGGTGAATAAAAGAGAGAAACAAAATCGTTGGAACGTCTTCGTCTTTTTTCTTATTGGAATATACACAACACTAATCAGATAAATACTCGACGTTTTTCTTCTTTTCTTTTCGTTTTTTTTTTTTTCTTCTGGTTTCTACTTTCTGCTCGAGCGAACACATAGAAATTGATGTAATACACTACAATATATCCTAGATTTAGATAGAAGAGATGCACATAGAAGTGTAGAATAACGGGGTTTTTTTTTCTCTCTTTTTTTTATTTTCTTTTTCATTCTGAAAATGAAGATGACACACATACACTAAGCTTTGTATTTTTGTTCGTTCTGTCGGTAATACGACTGATTGGATGGGAGGTATAGAAAAGGAAAAAAATGAAGAAACTACATATAGTATCCAATCTATTTAGAACAAAAAAAAAACAAAATCGTCTTATCTCATTGGAGAAACAAGAAAATGATCAAGATTGGCTGAATAAACATGAAGAGAAGAAAGAAATTAATTTTTTGGTCTTATTGACTATATGAAAAACATATCTTATGTTTAGTTCTAATCTTGACTGAAAAACGATAGAAGAACGACAAAAGAACGACATTCGTGTACATTATAAAAAGAAAGAGTTTTTCATTTTGTCTAATACAACGAATTAATTTACAGATTTTCTAAGAAGTTCAAAATAATTCAAACAAATATTATGTTTTCTAGAAAAATGGATGAAGAACTGAAATTAACGTATACCTTCTTCTGTTTTTTTTAACTTTTTTTTGAAAGCTAGACGAACACTTTGTACTGTGTATCTTGAACAGAGATAATATCGAACTGTTGCTTCAACTTGGAAAGTGAAGTCTTTAACAGACAGAATTTTTATTATGACTAATTTTTATACGCATTGCAGTTCTAAAGACTTTTTTCTAGATTTTCACTATGAAATTTATCCTTTGCATCTACGAATTATTAAGTCAGTTCAATTTTTAATTATTTTTCTACACTCTAAAAAAACGTTGTTCTTCAGATTTTCAAAGAACAGAAAAATCGATGGGAATTTTGTTTTTCATTTGTCCCAAATAGGGAACTCAAAGTCTGTTCTTCAACTCTCAAGAACTCAAAATTTGTTTTTCATTTCCCAAAGAACAAAAAAAAAAATCAGTTTTTCAAAAACCGAAAAACAAATTTTGAGTTCTTGAGAGTTGAAGAACAGACTTTGAGTTTCCTATTTGGGACAAATGAAAAACAAAATTCCCATTGATTTTTCTGTTCTTTGAAAATCTGAAGAACAACGTTTTTTTTAGAGTGTACTGTTCTTGTCCAAGCTACTCTTATTTTAATCAATATCTCTTGATTGACTAATGCAAAAAGAGACGTTTCTATTACACACAAATTTAGATTATATTAGAATAATTC